CCTCCAAAGCACACAAGTGTTGTATTCCTCTACATTCTTCCCAAGCTATGGTTCAATATAACATCTTCCTCCTTCTAACCCCAAGCACTAGGTCTTGGCAGAACACATGTGCCTCTGGCTCATGGTATTTTTAAATGCTGCTCATATCTTTCTTTTTGTTCTTTCTTCTCAGTTCCATGATGTATGTCATGAGTTTCTCTTTTAGATAAAGAGTCTCAGGCTCATTGTATACTAAAACAAAAACAAAAAACACAGTAAAAGGACAAATTCTGGTACGGGTAGTCTAATTCAGAATTTTTTCTCCCAGCTAGTGATGTAGGGCTATACTAAAGGAACTTGATAATTCCATGGGCTAAGAGGGCTGCTGCCTTTGAGCACAGAAGCTCCTGAATATGTGTTAAGTAATCTTACCAAAGCAATGACCAATTAGACTCTGTAATCTCTTAAGAAATAAAATTAAAAATATGTTCTGTATTGTCTTATTTTTATGGCAATATGGAAATTATTAACAGTTATTATTGGAGCAATAACCAATCAGGAAAGACCTCACTTAAACAATCAATCTGGCCACACTAGTACAAATTGGCAGGAAATCGTTTCTAACTACTTCTCTCTCATAAATAAATTCAAAGAGCCTCATGACTTCCTCAAATGATCATGGGATTTAAATGTTAAGTTATCTCTGCTAGATAGAAGAAAAGTGCCCTTTGGGAGCATGGGGTAAATAGAAGAGAGACAGAAAGGTAATTTACCAGGAAAGTTGAAAGTGAATTTTTAGTTCCTTTGGCTTTTTAAGAGGGTGGGTCCTTCCAAGGCCACAGAGCTTGGCAATTTTACCACCATTCCAAAAGCAGCAAAAAGGAACAGAAAAAAAAATGGACTGGTTCTGCAGTGAAACTCAATGTCCAAGGTTGGACTACTGAGAGTCCAAGTGGCTTATGGTTAATTTTATTTACATTTTTTTCTCTATTCCTTTATCCCTTTCTTTCTTCATTTTGAGCTTCCTTCATTCTTACAAGGTTCTTTGTGCTGATAAAAATAATCAATCAAAATTGAATGAATGTAACTAGCAGAGATAGTGCATTAATGAGAGTAAAAAATCAAGTAAACAGGAAATAAAGTGAGAAGAGTTAGACTGATTACTGATCCCCAGGTCAATGGGGATAATGTCAGAAATTTTGAAGTATCTAGATCCTTGCTACATACTAGGAATTAGAGATGTGGGCTGACATGAGTGTTGAACCAAGAGAAAGGGAAGACAGGGATGAGATTGAGAAGGCAAACCTAGAAAAATGCAGAAATATCTGATCCATGTGATTTGCATACATTTGAATTTAGGAATTTGCATCTTGAATCTAAGGCGCTTCCAATGTGAAAAGCAAAGGAATGACCCTGGCTACTCTATGTCCAGAGCAGCAAATGTACACTACGTTGAAGTCAATGTGTGGGTGATGCAACCGGGTGGACTCCTGTCACAATCTTGGACATAATTGTTTCCTAGGGCTTGGCCAAGGAGAGGCAGCCACGCCCATATTCACACCCCAAATTTAGATCATGAAAGGAACCTTAGAGCCATCTCATTTTAAGGTCAATGAGACTTGGTGAATTTAAAGAACATCTTCAAAGTTCTTAACTAGTTGTTTGCAAATGTTCTCAAGCCCTTGTATTAGGGCATAGTCAGGCACTTTCTGCTTTCTGTATGAAAATAGCCCTAATTTTATATGTTTTATCATCCTCTTCTTCCAACCTAAACCAAACAGTTCTGATTTCTTGTTTATTTAACGTCTTAAATCTTTTTCTTTAACTAAGGATATCAAAGATGCCACAACTCCTAGAAGGAAGGAGCTTCTGAGTATTTCCAACATGCTTTAGTCACAATCACTTTCTAAATATAAAATGTCTTACATGTGTGTTTTATACTGGTTTGAAGTGATATACTAAAATATAAAATTGCTTGGACAGAAGTAAGTTTTCTCAATGAGAAAGTTGGTGAATGTGCTGATACACTTTTATAAGTAGGTACTTTCAACTTCGACACTTTTCAAAAAAATTCCTTTGTTAGTACTGGGGTTTGAACTCAGGACCTCATGCTTGCTAGGCAGTTGTTCTATCATTCGAGCCACACTCCAGCCCCTAGTACTTTCTTCTTTGTAAACAACCTGTTGGTGAGTCTGAATCCCAAAACACCCAAGAACCATTAGTTTGGGAAACTGACTTTTCTGAAACTCTAAAACTAGAATCAGAAATCAGAACTTTATAATCTTCAATATGCCAAAAATGACCACCACTTGTCTAAGGTGGATACAGGTTGAAAGATAATCTTTCACAACAGATGGGTGAGGACTCAAGATTCAATAAATAAAACAAATAAGAAAGCTCTGGCACCCCCTTGAAACTTCCAGTGGTCCACAAATCTTGTTTCTGTTTGCATTTCTCTTTCAACTTATCAGGCCAAAGGGATCACCACCTAGTATTTTGTGTTCCTCCTAAATAATGCCTGATTTTGTTTTCTGGCTCTGAACAAGGCATTATTACAAAGGCAAAACAGCATGAGCTTACTGCTCTTCCTTAGAAGAAAATTTCTACCATGTTGGTTTTTGTAAGATGATTGGTGAACTGAGGAGCCCTTGGCTATAGAAAACTATCTTAGCCATTATGCTTTTTTTAAGTTTAGATTAAGATCTGTAGCCACAAATGCACTTGGAATGGGGATGGAGTTTGAAATTTACATGCTGTTTGCACTCTGCCTTGTATGGAAGGATAGGGGGAAGAGGGTTGCATGAGGAAATGTGCCCTGCATTATTATAATGGAAGATTCTTTATGTGGTCACCATTGCCTGCCGTAAGAGACCAAAGAGTTACAACAAATTCAGAGGTGGTTAACGGGAACAAGAGTGAAGAAGAGCCCACTGTGGTTCATGAAGGATAGAGAGTGTGGATTGATGTGAATATAATTAGGTGACCCCAATGCAAAATCACTATGTAAATAAAAAGGCCTAACTTTTAGAAAAACTGTCAATATTCTAATAGGGGCTTCTCCCCACAAGCACATTTGACTTCTGTTGGAAACCAAGAAATGTTTATAAGCCTGAATAGAGACTGTTGACGTCATTTCAGTCTGCTGAGTAGACTAGTGATTGATTATAAGTATTTTTTTAACAATCCAATTGGATGTACATTGTATTTCACAATACTTTTATAGAACTAATTCTACAAAATGTGACAACAGAATAACCACAGTCCGACAAGTCACTGCAGGACAATGCCTACGAGGTGGAAGCACAACTACATTGGCTCTGCAGGGAGTGGACAGAGGTGGAAGCTCGTTTGGTCTACATTGGTAATTGGAGCACTTCGTGGACACATGTTTTCATGGTGATCTCATTGCTTTGCTCTGATCTGATTTGCACTATTGTTACTAGGTATCACAGGGTTATGGCCTGAGGAGTTAATGGAATAGATAGCATGAAATTTTGGGGAATATTTTGTTTGGTTTGGGTAAGTGTCCACAGTTTACATTTTTAAGAAAATAAAAAATCACTATCACATCCATGCTTCTCCAGAGACCCTGATGATCAGAGTTTAAGATTGACAATTTTGTAGTTGAAAGACTTGTTAAGTTGTTGGAACAAAACAGTTGTTGGGGTGACTGTACACTGAGCATGCAAGCAACAGCAGAGCACTAAGACATCTCAATTGTATCTGATGGCTAGAAAAATCTATTGGCCACACTTGGAAGTGTCTGATACATTTTATTTCATTGCTGGTAATTTTCAAAGGCCTTTTCTAACAGTCTATATTAAGTGCATTTGTTGCTTTTCTTTTTGTTATTATTATTTTTAAATTTTTTTCAGCAAGTTTGTGTGTTTTGTCCCAGCAACTGGATCAAGGAAAGCCAGCAAATTAAAATCTGGGCAAAAGTCATCTCCTTGATCTTGGACATTCCCCGACTTTTAAACAAAAACTCAGTGAAATGAGTGCAACTCAGATCCTAAGTAAAACTGTTCATTGGTGTTCATAAACTTTCAGGCTAAAAGTTCTGAGACTTAGGGAAAGGGGTGAGAGGAGAGTTCATCATATTTTCTCAAAGTTGAGATTACTTGGTTAGGTGGTTTGGAAATATGAAATGAGAGTCGTAACAGCATTTAGGAGTCACCACCATTATAACAACAAACAGAGCCATGTCTTGTGTGTATCTGGTCCTCAACTTCCACATCCCAGGTGTGCCTACAACCTTCCTGGTATCATTAGTTGGCTGGGTAAAACTGATCTGGCAGTTGTAGAAAAGCTGCAAGCAAGTCTTCCATTTAAATATATGAACAAAGGAATGTGCAATATAGAATGAAAATTAAATTACAAAAATCTGACTTTCAACTGTGAAAATAAATAAGTTTCCATTTATTAAGAGCTGGTATCAACGCAGACCAAAATAGACACCCATCCAAGGAGGAGCAGGTACTCACCTGCCTCCTTTGTCTTCTTTTTTTGGATTTACTAAAATATATGTATACATTGTTAACCACTTTAAAATTGTTTTACTATTCCATTTCCCTTAATTACAATTGTGGTGGTGACCATCATTCTCCTCAAAAAAAAGAAAAAAAAAGGAGAGAGAAATGAGAAAGAGGAGAAATATGCATTAAGGAGTCTGGCCACTTATTCATGTTGATTTTGCCTTGTTTAGATATAGGGAAGATATTTGACAATGAAAAAAAGAAAAATATATTTCTTTCTAATAAATAAAAATAATTTAAAATGCTAGAGGCTATACATGACTATTTTAGTATGTTCATTTATAAATGAAATCATTTTCTTTTCCAAAATTCATGGAAGCAATTTTCAAGGCAGACAAAGAGAAAGATCTGTCTATTTTATTTTCTTGTAATTCTTGCTTATCCTAATGTCCCCACCACTGATTCAGCATGTAAGAGGAAGAAAAGTCACATCACCATTTATGAAGTTTGTCAGACTTTAAAAAAATAGTTCTGGTCTCCTGGGAGTCAACATTCATCTTCAACTTCTCGGATTGGAGAAATCAAGCTGCTTGTGGATTTATACTGGTTGATCTGGTTAGCCATGTGGGTACTCATCGGCTTGATGTGAATGTTTCTGGGACAGGCATTATCCGGTTCATCTGTAAACCATTTCTTTTCTGCTAAAGGGCAAAATGGATAGAGAACAAGAAGGAGAAATGAGAAGCTCAATTAGTCCTAGGGTAAAGCTTTTGGAAAAGTTCATCGAAAAATGCAAAAAAGATAATCGATAGAAGCTGACAGTGAGTAATTGCTAAGAGAAACAGTGCAGTGTAGGGAGGACCCCCAGAACCTGAAACACATACCTCTACTTCATGTAGCAAGTGAGGAACAAAATGTGTGCCACTGGGATTTGGAGGCACTAGGGGTAGACCGCAGAAAGTAAGGAAGGATTGATTGGAAGATGAACTCTGGCAATGTTCTCTGGAGGGACTTTCCTGGCCTGAAAAGTGTTGGTGGGAGGAAGAACTACATATATCAGATATTGCCTCATCTGAGGAAAGATTTGGGCATCCATCAGTTGGAATGGAGGGACACCATCCCTGTTGCAGAGCAAGCAATCTAGAATCTTCTGTACATCTCCTCTTCCCAGCCTTTACCAGCTTTGCTTATATCAAGCCAACTTAAAGGCTTATGTCTATTCATACACTTCTACTTCTTTTGCAGCCAGCACTGGGGGTCTTAAATAAAACCCAGAGAATTTTCTGGCCAACTGAGAGTAAAAATCAGAATAGCAACCAATGTTTTAAAAGAGAACTTTGAGATGGCTTTTATTTTAAGAAGAATTCGTATTGGTATAAAGTCATGAAGAGTTCCAAGTGGCAATATCTTAGCTCACTATAATAACCCAAGCTGTCTACAGGGAGCTTGATGGAGTCTTGGCATTTAGTTTCCACCCTACATACAGAAATGGCTGAGAAAGACTACAGAATCAGGCACTTCAGAGCTGGGGGTGGAGGAGGGGAGCAGGTGAGAATGGGGGTAAGTGAAAATGAACTGCATCCTCTCAGAAGTGCAGTGCTATTTTACAAAATCTATCCTCATCATCATCTCTTTCTAGAATTGAAATTTTCTGGGAAATTGGTCATGGGTATAGATCTGAAAGGACTGAGAATATAGGACAATCTAACTTGGGAATCACCCATTTCATTTTAGTGGCTTAGGGGACAAAAATAAAAAGGAGAAAAGCTTTCAAGCACAATTCCAGCTATAGAAACAATGGTCTCTCCAGGTTCCTTTTCTGCCTACAAGAGCAATTCACAACTGCCTTGTTGGCAATCCTAGAGTAATATGTTAGTTAAGATGGCTCACCTGGCTGATGCATGCTTGTGTGCATGTGTGTGAGTGTGTGTGTGTGTGTGTGTGTGTGTGTTTAGTTAATGGTTTATAAATTAAGCATTTATGATCAGCTTCTGACCACCCTGCTTGTTTCTTCTTGGTACATATTGCTGTTTCTGGTACTTGCATCCGTCCTCCATGTTGCTGTTAAGGGTTGGTCACTGGAGCTAGAGTGTGCCTGGGAAAAAGCCTCACTGCTCTTTGTCAATAGCTCAGTTTAGCCCTCAGGACACTTGCTACCCCTTGCCTCATTCTCCCCACTCCCCTCCTACTCTGGCTCTCTCACCTATTATAATTAAGTTCACTTTGATTTGAACAGATTGGACGATAGGAATTCATAATGCTACATCCTCACAGTGAAGCTAACTGATTAAGTGCTTTAAATTATTCCCCCTGACAGAATGATAAAGTTACAATCTGTTCTGAGACGATCTACAGCTTGCCAGACTCCTACAGCTTCTTTCTACGTTCATTTATCTTTTTGTCAAGCAGAGGTTTTTTTTTTTCCCTAAGCTTCAATTCCATAGATCTTTTAAAGTCATCAGCACATCTGAATTATTAATGAGGCTTTAGAGGCAAGACTCCTGATGGGCTGGTTAAAAAAGGTTGTATAGAAATCCGGGACTGTGTACACATCAAAATAATTTCAGCTCCATTTAAAAAACCATTTAGTTCAAGTGTGACATAGATGAACCATTATGCATTTGTGGAAACCAATTTTTTGTGATCTACGATTAAACTAACCTTTCAGAGAAGAATAAAGTGTGATGTTATCATGTTTTAAAAGCATTGCCAGGCCTCCAAAACAATTTCAAACTATGACTTTTTCAAACGGTTTATGTGTAAAGATGATGTTCCAAGTCAAGCCTGATGTTTGTGCTCTGTTTGCCTGAGCTGCCCTTAGCTTTGGCCGTGCTGTTATGTGGAATGATTTTGCAAAGGGATTTAGTGCTAGGTTGGACATGCCAGGTTGGAAGAGTAACTCTGCTGATGGAAGTGAGGAAGCCTTTTGGGTGAAAGACCTAACAGCTGCAATTTGCTGAAATTTTTACAACTGCTGCAGAGAATAATTGTTCAGAATTTAGTCTTTACAGTTCAATTCAAAGCTGGCATTTTGACCTTTCACCACAGAGAGAATATCAATTTCCTTCCTCTGTCTGTAAGAAAGAGAGTATTTCCCCATTTAAGCTTCTCTCTTTTGCTTTAAATTTCTTGCCTAAAAATAAAATAAAATCTAAGCAGAGTAATCCCTGTGTTTTGGGCCAGGTAGGTTCAGTACAAGAAAGGGGTTGTATGAAAGCCCCTTCCATTCAGGAGCTGAGGTTCTCCTGATAGCTGAGAAACAGTTGTTCAATTCTGGTGGCTCCTAAGATACCAATGTGTATATGGGTTGTTGGAGACTTGGTTAGGTAAGATGCTGAGGAAATGGAAATATATGAATGCTCTGGACATTTTACTAAAATATCTGATGGCAAAGGCATTTTATGAAGCTCCCCCAAAAAGCTTCAGAGAAACACGTTTTAATGGTCTCCAGCTGCTGGGTTTCCATGAAGAGTGCTTCAGGTATGACATTGACAATTTGGCTTATTAAATCTTGCCTTTCAAAGAAGAACCTGTGCCAGTATGTGGCTAGAAAATTGGCCACAAGGAAGAGGACTCAGATAAGTGCTTATATGGTTGAGGATAAATCCAACCCTCTGAATTTTTCTCCACTTTCTACCTTGTTTCCCAGGCCAGAAAGATTTCTAGGTACTTCATTTTCATCCCTAAGATGAGGACAATTGATCTTGCTGTGAGGGTCTCCTTACAATGAGAGTAAAATAGCCCCACTTCCTCATAAGCTTCTTGAGGAAGCAATGCATGAAGCCATCGCTCCCAATACAGCATGGAACCTGCCAGGAGTTTCTGTCACAACACAGCTAGTGGAGAAAGGGAGGGAATGAAATGTCTTAGTCTGTGGCAATTGGGCTAGTGGAACAAAATAAAATTGAGGAAATAACTGCTGGAAAAGAAACTGACACTACCATAGGGCATATGTGACCTCTCAAGACCAGCTATGTCACAAGCGGACACCCCATGAGGAGCTGGCCAAGGAAATGGTGCCAGGTAATAGATTAAAGTCAAATGGACATGGCTCTCTCACATAATAACTGCATGGCTCTGAGCAAGTTATTACATCATTTATCTTAATGTCATTTATTTTCTGTAGAATAGGGCTGGGGATGTGACTTTCCTAATATTGTCTTTTAGATCAATGGAGCTTTTGCCCACAAAGCACTTACCACAGATCCAACCACATGGTAAGCAAATGTGAGTTAAGATTATTAATATTACTAAAAATGTTACAGTCATTATGTCACAGTGGCTAACTACATGACTGTAGTGTGTCTCAGATTCCACAACTACCACATGGATTCTGACAGCACCTATATTTAGGATGATCATGAGGATTGAAGGTGGTAATATATGCAATGTACTGAGAAGAATGTTTGGTCCATGGTGATTGGTGAGGTGTTAGCTTTTAGTGTAAGATTAGAATTGATTTGAGTACTGTTAGTACTGAAGGATGATATAAGGATGGGTAGTACCTTGTGGATATGGTTACAAATGAAGCTTTTCAACAGAAAAGTTGGGGGATAGAGAACTAGGGTGTCTAAATTAGGGGCTGGTTTGAAGAATGTAGATTGCAGCTGTAGAGATGACACAAGAGGTTATGATGGTTGGTTTTCACTTGGAAGATGAAGGAGAAGGGATGATGTGGGGGCTCAGGACTGTGACCCTCCTGGAGTGCCTCTCCGTCTCTGAAGTACCAGGTTTCACTAGTACCAGATTTCTCCAAGAGCCATCTGTTCCTTCCATTGCTAGTGCTCATACCAAGGGTTCAGAATCAGGGTCAGGGCTGCCTCCAGCCACGTGGCTGCAGGTCGTGGGGTTGCTGGAGGACAGCACTCTGGTGAGGAAGAGTGAAACTACATGGGGTGTGACAAGTGGAGAAGAGCCAGGCTGCACTGTGAACATGGAGCTTTTGCTGGCTCTGTAGGTTATCAGTGCTGAGGGAATTTGCCTTTTCACATATCTACTCCCCAGAGAAGACTGCAGAAAAGAGGAGACAATGACACAGCAAAGGCATTTGGAATGACTGGCCATCTTCTCACTGTACAAGCTGAGGTTTAGAGCAAAAGGCTTGGAAGAAAAAGATTCCATTTGGATACAGAGGACAGTGAAGGCTAACAAGGAACTCCAACCTTTGGGGGCAATGCTGTGTGCTTTCCAAGTTCACATTTCTGATAGGCAGTTTAGCATTCTTCCTCTGCCCACCAAACCTCACCCACATGCACACCTGCCTCCTCTCCTCTCCCTGGGCAGAATATGGCTATTCAATAGGGATGAAAATTGTTTATACCAGAACCAGAGAGGTTTCTGCTGATCTTCCTTGTCTGCAGTTTACCATCATGACTCTGAATTTTTTTTAACTTATCCGCTGAGCAGAGCAAACTGTCCCTCTCTACCCTCTTCTGTGGCCCTCTGTCCAGTCAAAACCCTGAGAGCAGACTTTTCACTCTTCTCTCCCTGGTGGCAAGGAATGATCCCTCTCACCTCTGATGGTTGCAGTGAATGTGCAACCTCTACGGTCAACCAGTTTAGTGACAGGTGCCCACAGCTACTTCTTTATCATGTTATGACAAAGTAGGGATGGGCTGAAAGAAGCTGATGGAGAAATTGATTTTTACCCTGTCTTGACTTCCATAGCTCCTGAAGTTTCTGCACTCTCCTGTTTCTCCTCCAGGAGCCTGTTGCTATAGGGACCTGGCAGGTTGATTTAATTGTCTCTTTTGGGATACAGACACCTTCAGGCTTTTCCCATGATGAAGAAGAACCAGTCAAAAGGTTTTTCTGGTCATCTGGGATCTTGACAGTTCTGCTAACAGGTACAGTCTCCCTCCTCACTGAGCCACACCCAGCTCCTGAAACTGATACCAGTAAACAGCATCGTGGAGCTCCTAGAGGTATTCATTGTAATTTTATTCAAAATAAGCCAAGAGAATGAGGATAATCATAAAATAGAATTATAAAATGCTTAAGGTCCAATTATTTTCAAATACTTATTGAGCATCTATTATAAGGTTCTGGGTCATAACCCTTAATATTCAGAAAGGAATCTGAAACCTTTCCCAATTGTGACAGAAATTTGTAAGTATAGGATTGGTTTGAACTAGCTTTGGGAAGGACCTCAGGAGCAGTCCTTAGGGACACTGATGCTACCATGATCATCAGATTGTTGAGGGTGAGAAGGTGTCCCTGTAACCTCCTGGTCTACCTACTCACTTATGTTTACCCTGTTCAATGCCTGAGTAAATTGGACTGAATGGCTTACAAACTGCTTCTCTTCTAGAATTGGGCAGATCACCGAATTCCTAGCTGTTCTTCTTTTTAAGTGCAGTTACTTTCTTCTCAAAACAGTCTCTTACTTTCTACCCCTACCTATTTTCTTCTGCTTTTGGTGAGGAGGGAGTAGGGAAGGGACATAATATCAGAAACTTCATGCCCTCTTTCTAAGAGAACTGATGTTCTCTTGAAAGAGAAAGGGAAGTTTGGAGTAGAGATGGAAAACAGTAGAGGAGAGTAGTCAATCTTGCAAGTATAATATAGAAGTGTCAGCTAGTAAAATAGAAGCAATCATCAACTATGTCACTACCCAGCTACGATCACCTCTCCATTATCTGCCAGTGGAGACTGTGTGCTCAAAGTCCATGGAAAACCCCCAAATTGCATCTCATGTAATAGTGTGTTCCCATTCCAGTCCCATCACAATATCATTACAGCTGCTAAACAACCTTGGATTTACTTCCATCTGCCCAATCTCTAGTGGGGATTTAACAAATATCCAAAAAGCAGGAGACACTTGGGTAATGTTGAGTGAGTCATCAGCCCCCAGATCACTAGGCATGAGCTCTCAAGTGATCCATACAGATGAATAATTTTAACTTTGCATCATACTGATCAAACATAGAGGAGACCAATGCTTTTGCCATTAATAACTCTCCTGATTTAAATAAAAGGAGGACAAAATATTAATTGAGAAGCAGGATTGCCAAATGGAAAGCTGCAAATGTCTTTTCAGAAAAGTTTATCAGCTAGCATTATCATTTGCTTTGATAGGTCTTGCCAAGATAAACACAGAGATGTGAACAGACCAATGGAGGCTAGGTTAGGGGGGTGGTAATGGGGCAAGGTGGGGGGAGTGGAGGAAGCTGGGTTTCTCAATGGGAAAATGCTTTTGGACTTGGAGCAAGGTACCAAGGTGGGCAGGGAGGCCACGTGCAGATTGAAGGCAAGCCAGATGGAGAGAAGTTCCACCCAAATTACCCAACCCCAAACCCAAGAACACCAAAACAAACTCTAAGGAATCTAGCCATAGCAGCAGCACAGCCTCATTGCGCTGAGCAATTGAGAAAGTGGAGGAAGAAAGAGAAGGAAGGGAAAAAGAGATGGAAAGGGGAAGGGGGGGAAAAAGCAAAACAAAATAAAACCACAAACAGAACAATATAAATAAAAATAAACAAACCAATAACAGAATAAAATTTGTAACTCCTTTTTTTTAATGTCACAAAAGTTTTCACAAGGACAATGTTATAGAAGAAAACCCCCAGCAGTGGCTAGGTCATGCAGAACCATTAATTGTCATACCTTGGCCCATTCTATTCATCCTTGTTGCACTTTAGAGAGAGAAGTAAGCTATGTGAGTTTTACAATGCTTTTAAACTGTCATATTTCCTGTTGAGCACTTTAACTGGCACATTCTTATAGTTATAAATGTTCTGAGGGCATAACTTTCTAACCTCCTTTGCAAAGAATGCATAAAGAGCTTCATGATCCAAAATATATATATATGGTTTTATATATATAGTTATATATAAAGAGACAGATAGTTATACATAATACATAAATCAAAATATATAGGGACAAAAATAATTTGAAAAAAATTCTTCCACTCATAGGGCTTTTTAATATGCAAGTATATAGTTATTCCCCACCCCATTACTGGTTAGAAAACTGCACTACCTTTGTCTTTGGTTTGGGGGAGGTGGAGGTTCTGACTGAGCCTCATTTTGTCAGTAAAAGTGCTTGTCAATTCACACAGCAAGCAAATCTCCAAAACTATCATGCTGGAGGGAACAGGGGATCCAAAATCTAAATCCAAAACATTCACCATAAAAACACCTTTTTAGAGATGGTACAGCTGTGACACTTTTTTTTCCTCCTCCTTTCCACTCCTAATCTATTCAATGACTTTTTAAAAAGTAAACATCTCAAATAGGTTTAAACCCTGGTTTAAACCAGGTTTAGCCCAGGGCTAGTTCACCCATACAAGAATTTGATTATGATAGAATTGGCCAATTTTTAAGTACTATTGTATCCCTAAAGCTGTTTTGCATGCATAAAATATCTGACAACTGTATGCTGAAAAAAAGGGGTATTTTCTAACTTCCCTCCCATGCTTACTTACTGTTTACAAAAAAAGAAAGAAAACAAAAGAAAAAATAACTATACCAAAATGTGTTTGGCTCACTGTTGTACCCTTCTTATTCCTTATCATGTAATGACAAGGAGCAGTTCTCTATTTCTGTCATTCACCTGCCTAAGTGAATTGGCTATGGCAAAGAAATGGAGGATGAAGAACTTTTCCCTACCAGCTTTCTGCTTTGGGACAGAGCATCATGCAGCAATGCCAACCATTTTTAAGGTGGTCACTGGTTTTTGTCTTTATGAGTCAACTGTAGATTGATCCTCCTGTATCCTGATTTATTTAGCATGTCATCTCCTACAAAAAAACATATCTATTGCTGGGTTTATCTCCCTCTCACTCCACCATCACCCCAGCCCTTGCTTCTGCCTGGCATTGGGGCCTTTGCTAATCAAACAAAGGGGAGTAAAATGTTCCCCTGAGAGTACATGAAAAAATACTTGCTCTTTCCTGAGCATTATTTATTCTGTACATAAGATAAGTAATTCACCTTTTAAAAGATGTAAAAGTCCCAGGAAGGCAGTTTTTAATGACTTACATCTGATATTTATGATACATATGGCTTTTTATCCCAAATGTCAAAAGTGAAAGAAAAAAATAGCTATTCATATGGCAGCATAAGAGACAGAATAACAACTTAATATGCAATCAAACCTCTTTTAACTTAAAATAAATGACTAGAATTTGATACATTCACAAATGGAAAATTGTATTAAGGTTAGAAATGTTCATATGAACTCCCAAAGGAAGCTAGCTCTGGGACAAAAGGCCTTGGTGAGTCACTGAAAAAAAAGTCTTTGATGCTCTCTTGCAACAAGTAGGTACTTAATAATCATCCCCACAAACTGTGAAAGCTTTTCAAATGCTTTGTGATACTTCAGCCCAGAGTGGAAACGATCAATACGTTTTCATTGCTTTTTGGTTGCTTGTTTCAAATAAATGTGTGCTAACTTATGGTGTGTGTATTTTAAAAAGAGAGAGAGAGAGAGAGAATGAAAAACAAACAAAAAATCAAAACCCAAAGCACCCTGATAATCCTTATAACTCAGAATCCACTTTTCTTGTACATTAAATAAACTTGCTTTTCCTAACTGACATAGATCATGAGTGCTCCTTTCTAATCTGTGAACTCATTCCTGCAGTGAGCTATTCATGTCTGCAACATGCCTTTGGGTTATTTTTCCCCTAGAATCATAAATAACTTTTGGTCCGTCTGCTTATTTGCTGTTGTGCTCAAGGGTTTTATGGTGGTGAAATAAAAATGACAACCACATGCACACTATCATACATATGCAAATATGTGTAAAAAAAAGAGGGGAGGACTACAGGGAAAACAGGGAAAGTTACTTTGTTGGAAACACCAACTGGGGAAATGAGTGGCAGATACAGTTTCACACACGGTGGCGGTGGATACACATATCAAAGCCGCTCTTCCTGCACGTACTTCTGTTTGTCCCGGGATTCCCTGGATTTGGGCCGGTTCTGCCGGTTTGCTGTAGATGGGATGGAGTGGACAGAGGAGCTCTTCTTGCTGGAGGACTGCGATGAGTGGGAGGAATGGGACAGGCTGGCCCGGGACTGGCCTGCATTGTGGTCAAATTGCATTAGGCAGAAGATCAGGTCCGTCGGCACAAGTTCAAACTCGTAGGGGGGGTTGGTGATGACATACCTAAGCAGGAAAAGCAAAGAAGTAATAGCCTGAGGTGACCAGGTGGAAAACTCAAATCTCCTTGAATCAAAAGAAACTGGTTGCTCAAGTCAACCAGAGGATTTGAAAGTTGTACTTCTAGCTAGTCCAATGCCCTCCAATTCTCTTTCAAGTTCAATGAATCGTCTCCTCTGTAACTCAACAGAAGCAGCTGAATTATTGCTGGTAACAGCAGAACTAAACTGTACTTTCCATGGTCTACGTGCATCTTTCTGCACAAGGTCAAATTAACTTCCAATCCTGAGTAACCAGTTGGGTTATTCAATGTAACTTTCATTCTAGAACATCTTGACGATCCCAGGCACACTCAGTGGAACTTTATCATTAACCAAGCTCCTCCTCAGTTCAGGTTTCTCTGGTTAGCACCAGACAAGACTGCAAAAATCACCACGTTCCTCTAAAACAATGGGTCTCCAAGCATAGTCCCAGGCCAGACGGATCAGCACCATCTGGGAACCTCAGAAAAATGCAAATTTTTAGGCATGCCAGCCCAATACATTGAATGCAAAATTTTTAGCCATGCCAGCC